AGCTTTGAGTAGGCTCAGCAATAGTCCCCAAGCACTGAGTTCAAGCCCCAGGATCAATTGGCACACATATGAAAAAATTTTAACATTGCTGGTAAAGGCTCTGGACTCAATCTAAGCAATACACACACACATACACACACAAATGCTGGTAAAGATGTGAAAAGATGAATACACCTATCCACTGATTATGGAACTATAAATTAGTGCACTGTATCAAAAGGACAACCTGATGATAATAATTACGAATAGTTAAGAGCTTTTCTTTGTTCTGATCCTGAGACTTGAACTCAGGGTCTGAGAGCTGTCTCCGAGCTTTTTCACTCAAAGGCAGTGCTCTGCCACAACTTTACTTCTGAATTTTTGGTTGTTAATTGGATATAAGAATCTCACAGACTTCTCTGGCCAGGCTGTCTTCAAGCTAGAACCACAGGCATGTGTCTGTGCCCAGCTAAACAAAATTATCTAGCAAATCTACCTATCTCTATGAATATTATTTTCCTAAAAAACAGTCTGAAGCTAAACAAAGACACACACACACATACACACACACACACACACACACACACACACACACACACACACACACACCACACACACCAGGATTTGTTTATGTCTGAGTTGTCTAAAGCCCAACCACAAAACTATGAAATAATCTGGATATTTACAACAGCTTAATTAAAACCTAATAACAAAATGGAATATTCTGCAGCAATTAAATGTGATATTACAGAGGACAGTTTAAGCATTTGAGGAAACATTACCATCTTGTTGAGTGAAGGAAAACTAACAAAACAGCAATGCAAGTTGTCTCAATCCAAATTTTGAAAGAAGACAGCCCTCACTGGAAGAGCAGGCAGCAAATATTAAGACTTATCTCTGTGAGCAGATTCTTTATCTTCCCTCCCTCCCCTGGGCCTTCCTCAGTCCATCCTTCTTTCTTTCCTTCTCTTCTCTCCTTCCTTTACTTTTGTGTTTTCCAATAAATTCAATAAATGTGATGGCTTTCTGATTGGAAAAATAAATTTGTTCTTTTTCTCCCTCCCTCCCTCTCTTCCTTCCTTCTTTCCTTCCTTCCCTTCCCTTCCCTCCATTGCTTTCTCTCTGATGAGAATCTAAGGATGAGTCACTCAGGAACCACTACAGTGTGGTGGCCCTAGGCTCACCACCTGGCAGCAGGAAAGATGAATAAGTAATACTGGCAAGAAAGCAGTAATTACTCTGCAAGAATTTTGTTTTGTTTTGTTTCTTCTCTAAAGAGGATGTCGCAGACAATTTTACAAGACAGCACTTGCAACTAGGTTTCTTAGAAAGGAAACTGGTGGCATCACTCAGGGCCAGTAGGCCAGGTGAGCCTGACATCCTCCTCGCTGAGAGCTTTGGGAGCTCAACACAGTACCAGAGCCCGTGCTTGGCATTACCTGTTCTCCTTTTCCACAGGAAGCTGAGCTCTGATTCCATCCTGCACTGAGTGCTCCAGAAGGTCTTACTAGAAGGTCATGAGTCCCCCACAAAAAAAGACCTTGAACTTGAATCCTGAGCACAGTGTGGAGCCATTAGTGGTTGAGCCCATTCTCAACCCTGTCCTCATAGCTCAGATGAGCAAGTGGCCTGCCTGGGACTCAAGAACAGTCAGGGAGGAGCTGTGGGTGGCAATAGTAGGGTGAGAAATGGATGGGAGGAGGCATCCTACCCACCACCAGGGCTGCCTAGGAAAGCATCTCCGCTTCTGCCAATCAGCTGTCCCATCTCTGTAATAAGCAGGCAGCACCATGACTGCTCTCTGAACCTCACCCCTTATGTACTTAATTCATTAAGTGATCACTAGTGCAGATGTCACCTGAACCATCAGGTGAGGTGAGGGTGCCAGTTTTGCTCTCCACAGAATGATCATTTTTCCCCTCCAAGGTGATATTGGTTATTATGCTGGCATCTCCCATGGTGTAATGAGTCACCCTGTTTCTACTTGTCTCTGTAACATATTGTCCAGATAAAGTCCTGGCCTGTGTTTATAAGTCTTCAAACCTGAGGATATGGCTCAAGCAGTAGACTGGCAAGTGCAAAGCTCCAAGTTCAAACTCCAGTACTTACACATACACATACTCACACAATTTTGTTCAAATGGCAGACAAAAAAAAAAATCTAAAGTTAAAAAACAAAGGCCAAAAGAAAATCCAACTCAGAGAGATAAGCTCAGATATATTCAAAGGAAAAGAATTGTAAGCAAAGGATAACAAATACAAAGGAATAGCAGGGGTATAAATGACGAAAGCAGTACTAGGAGAGAAATAACCGTTGAAGTCAAGGAGGTTGGGGGTGAAGGAAGGACAGTATGCACATCCCTGGGATAGATCTGTTTGTTTGTTTTTGTCTTTTTTTTTTTTTGTGGTTGTGGGGCTTGAACTCTGGGCCTGGATGTTATCCCTGAGCTCTTCAGCTCAAGGCAAGTGCTCTACCACTTGAGCCAAAGTACCACTCTGGTTTTCTGGTGGTTAATTGGAGATAGGAGTCTCATGGACTTTCCTGCCCGGGCTGGCTTTGAACCATGATCCTCAGGTCTCAGCTTCCTCAGTAGCTAGGATTACAGGCGTGAGCCACCGGCGCACAGCTAGATCTGGTTTTTACCAAGAGAGAAGTGGGGAGCATTGTCCAATTTCAAGTAAGGAAAAAAATGACCTGATAGACATTTTCACAGGCTTACTTGTGAGACAGGTGAGGAGCTTGGATGCAAAAGGATGAAGCCAAGTTAGCAGGTCATTAAAATAATATACACAAAAGGTAATGATCATCTGGGCAAGGATGGTATTTTGGATATCATTTTAAGGTAGAATTGCTGAGAGATCAATTATGGAACATAAAGAAATCAGGAACAAAGCCATGTTTCCTGGTCTGTATAATTTGAAGGATGGAGAAGACAGTGAAAAGAAATGAGAGATTTGTGGGAATTTTATTTGGGGCTTATGCTTGATAGGCTTCTAGACATAATTAACACAACACAAGATGTATGGAGATGTTAAAGGTCTGCAGTGGAGAAATCTGGGGTAGAATTTTAAACTTGGTCATTTGGCTTATGGTTGTTCAAATATTAGTAATTGTTACTAGCAACTGACTCACCGGTTTGGTCCTTAAGGGCAAATGTCTGATTGTCAGGGTTCAAGGTCCTCAAGAGGCTATCTGGATCACTCTGACCCCTGATCCTGGGACAGAACCCTTCACCTTGGAGGGTACTTCCAGTCCTGGGACCAGCTCCTTCCATCTGAGCTGAAATTAGGCTCCTTCATCTATCATCTTTTGTTCCCTGGAACTACTCAAAATATGTCTGATCTTCTTCTGCATACAAATCCTTCCAGTGGCTTCTCTGTTCTTCTACAACAGCTATTCAAATGAGTCAGCAGTAAACTTAACTTTTATTTTTGGAGGGGGGTTGTGGTGATAGAACTCTGGGCTTGGGTGCTGTCCCTCAGCTCTTTCAGCTCAAGGCAAGTGCTCTACCACTTAAGCCACAGTGCCACTTCCAGTTTTCTGGTGGTTTATTGGTGATAAGAGTTTCACACACTTTCCTGCCAGGGCTGGCTTTGAACTGTGATCCTAAGATTTCAGCCTTCTGAGTAGCTAGGATTATAGGCATGAGCCACCAGTGCCCAGCTTAAACTTAACATGTTATTGTCTTTTTCCTTTAATTTTGAGACAGGGTCTCTAGCCTTGAACCTTCAATCCTCCTCAGCTTTCTGAGTGCTGGGATTCTAAGCATGTACCACTAGGCCAGGCTCTTATTTATTTTATGCTAGTCCTTGGCTTGAACCCAGAGCCTAGATGTCTTCTCTGAGCTTTTTCATTCAAAGCTAATGCTTTATCACTTGAGCCACAGCTCCACTTCTGGCTTTTTGGTAGTTATCTGGAGATGAGGAAGAATCTCAGACTTTCCTGTCCTGGATAGTTTTGAACCATGACCCTCAGATTTCAGCCTCCTGAGTAGCTAAAATTACAGGAGTGAGCCATTGGCACCCAGCAAGACTCATATTCTTTAAAAAGTAATTATCAAGTAAGACACTACCAGTGCACACATGACCAATCCATATTTCTCTCTGCTTCCGTGTATGTGTGTGTGTGATCAACCCAGGACCTTGTGTGGACTCTATCGCTGAGTGACACCTCCAGCCCCGGCTTATGTATTAAGCTCAGTGCAGAGGACCTGGGTGGAAGCCTGCATGGAGCAGTGATGCTCGGGTTTAAGTGTGGTGAACACTGGCAAACTGCTTTTTGTGATTCGTGTAACTGGAGAGTGCAGCTAACCTTTCCAGGCTCCAATGTAGGAAGGCTCACCAGCAGTAACTGAGCTGTTGTTCCCGTGTTTTCTCACCGTGCAGCTCCCAGCGGAGGGCTCGGGGCCCGGGAAGCGCGCGGTCCAGGGGGCGGCCGGGCGGGCGGGCGCTCGGCCCCTTCCCCACCCCTCCGCCGGCGCTCCCGCGTCAGCCCGCTTCCCCGGACCGAACCTCGGGTTCTGCCCGTGACCGCCGGCGCTGGGCGCTCAGACCCAGGCTCCGACTGCAGAAGAGGTGGACAGGCTGTGGAGCGGGCTCTCCCCAGGTAACCGGGGAGCGAAGGCACGTCCAGCCGCCGTCCGAGCCGGGAGGAGCCTCCGCACCCTTGTTGTTATTTGCATTCCAATACAGTCGCCTCACCAGCTCCGCCCCCCGCCCGCGGCCCGGGACCGCGGTGGGACCCATTCTTCCTTATTAGGAGCGGGCGGGACAGCGTCGGGCGCGGTGGGGAGCGGCGGAGGGCGGGGCGAGTGGAGCGCGTGGTGGGGTGGGGGCGGCGCCGAGAAGCGGACAGGTGGCCGAGGGCGGGGCTTGGGTTCGGAGCGGCCGGAGGGGGCGTGGCCGGTCCCCGGGCGTTCTAAAGGGGCGTGGCGGAGCCGGGTGTTCCGGTCTCGGGGCGGGGCCTCCAGCAGGTGCGTCCCGCGGCTCGGGTTTCACTGAAACGGATCCTGCTCTGGGAAAAGCGAGCGTGGTGGCTCGGATCGGGGCCGATGCGAAGCGGCCAGGCTAGGGGGTCGCGAGCGGGGCTCTGAGTTTCGAACTCGTGGCCCGGCTCGGGGACGGCTGGAAGGAAGGATGCGGAGTCCGAGGGTGGCGTGGCTGCTGGGGGGCGCCGTCCTGCTGGCGGCCGCTGCCTCCGGCGGCGTCACCGGGGAAGGTGAGGACGGGGCGGTCGGAGCCCGCGGGCCCGGGCGCCTGGCCGGCGGCGGGAGGGAGTGGGGCCGGCGCACCTCGGGGTGCATCCCTCAGACGCCCCGGCGTTGGCGGGGACCCCTGCATCCCGGGCCATCGGCGGGGACACCCGGAAGCGGCCGGTTCCGGTTGGGGGCCGATGTGCCCCCTTACCGGGGACGGCTGCAGACCCGGGCTCCCCCAGGTCCCCCCTGTCGGCGCGGGGACGCCGAGGGACGCGAGTGCCAGGTCTGGGGTTCCCAGAGGACGGACTGGCTTCTCCTCCCCGGGGTTGGTGTCTTTGCAAACACGAGGTCATTAGTAGCTTTCCTCACTCCCTGGCGGGTCCCGGGGGGCGGGGGGGATGGATTAGAGAGTCGATGTTTAGGGTAGGGGAGGAGGGGGTGGGAATCCCTATCCCCTTCCCTCTCGCTTCTTGTACCCCCATTGGAGCCCCCCTCCGCCCCGCTTGGGGTCTGCCCAGGAGTCCCAAGAGGCGCCGCGGCTCCTGGTACCCACGGGGGAGGATGACCTGGGTTTGAAAGTCAGCCCATTCCTCCGGGGTTTACAAGGGAAATCTACCGGGTGCGCGCGCCCGGGTCTGCAGGGCTTGAAGGTGGCAGCCCCGGGGACAGAACCGCAGGGGTGCGGCCAGGCCGATGCCCAGCGGCCAGCTTGGGCTGGGCTCGGGGTGGGGCGGAGCAGCCCCCAAGGACGGCGCAGCGGGGAGTTCAAGTTCCCGGGTTGGGTCGGGCGGCGGAGGCCGGCGGGTGTCCTGATTTTAACGGGCACCTTCCGTGATGCTCAGCGCGGCGGGTTTGGGGGCGGGCTGGGGGCTTTAAATGTCCTTGCGAAGTTTGCATATTTGCTGCAAAAGACAGTTTATCCTTTTCATAAGGACGTTGTGTGAACAAATCAGTAAATCAGACTACAATGTGATCTAAAAATGTCTGGAGTTTTAAAAAGCAGATCCACATAAAGGTCAAACCGTACCATTGGTATACTTTTTATTTTTGGCCAGTCTTGGGGCTTGAACTCAGGACCTGGGCACTGTCCCTGAGCTTCTTTTGCTCAAGGCTAGCACTCTACCACTTGAGCCACAGCACCACTTCTGGCTTTTTCTGCTTATGTGGTGCTGA